TGATTACTCAGAGTTCGTTTGGCCTTACAAGTAAATGATCTCATCACGGAGTACTTCCGCGTCTCCAGCTATGATAAACATTGGTGGTAAGCCACCTAGATATGATAAGACAGGGCTTATGAGGGGATGGTCCAGCATGTAATTCGGCGTATAAAGATGGATCTGCTCGTTTATCTTGAGGGTTTTCCCAGAGGCAGTCGTGCATGATATTGTCTGATCTCTGACGTCCGTCTGTATCGTAGGCAGGGAAGCCGTAGATCCCAGATGCAGAGTTTGCCCTGTCTGTGGCAAGCGAAGGTCGTTTTCGCCCTCCTGGCAGTTCACACCACTTTTATTCCTAGAGTGCTTAGATAGCGAAACGGCGTGCTGTATCCGCGACCGAAGCGTTTCGCGCACCCGTACAGCGAGCTCATCGGGCGGCGGTGGCCATAGTGTACTCGGTTTGTTGAAAGAAAGTCCATAGGGAGGTATCACATCCTAGTTAATAGCTAAGCAAACTTCCGGCAAGGCCAGTTCCTTGAAGCTCACCGTAGCTGTGTTTGTATGAATGCTCGGAAACGAGTGTGTTAGATCGCACCAAGGTGAAATCAGAACCGCTCCAGCAGGCAATGGGAGATCGCAGTCACGGAGTATCTGAAGTAGGGCAATGGTCAAACCGCCTCCTGCAGAGTCACCTGCAACAATGATGTGGGCAGGATCCACCGGGCGATGCAAAGCCCCTTCTGGAGGCCGAATTAAGAACAGATCTGCAAGTGTATCAGTAATCAACTATCAAGATTTTAAGGATGCCTTACAAGCCGCTACAAGATCTTGAATAGCACACGGAAATGGATATTGTGGGGCGAGACGGTAATTGATGGCTTGAATAGCGTCAGTATAGGAGAGATACTCTATGACTGAACTACGTACCAAACACACGGCCGTTGATCTTGCGCGCAAGTCGTTGGATGGCATAACGCTCTTGATCCACGCTACCAAAGTAATAACCACCTGAACAACATTATCTATCGGAAGGTATCACACGATCATATCACTCACCTCCGTGGGTATACAAGATACACCTCATTTCGTCCATGTCGGGCTGATATCCTGTTGGGACATCATCTTGCGCGTTTGGAGCAGAATCTTTCCCAAGACTTGTCCTGATCTTCTCTTGAGCCTTGTAGCGCTTCTTCGCCTCTTGCCAGTCTTTCTTCGTCACAATCCACTCTGCGTCCACGCTAAGAATACGCTCAGAAATCTCACGCTGACTGCCTACATCATTACTTACCCTTTCAATCCGCGCACCTGCCACCATTTCGTTCCACCGACGATCTTCTTCGTCATCTGCTCTCCGCCGAGGGCCTTGATCACGATCTCCGCAGCGTCGTCACAACGCGACATAGGCACCACCACCTTGACCACAAGGACCCAAGGTGGAGCAGGCGTGCGGGTATTTGAGAATCTCTGGATCTCTTCTACGGTGTGTCTGAAAACGATAATTCGTTGTCTAAGTGGTTATCTATCACGATACGCAGTAGGACTCACTTGGAGGCCGCCTCAAGAAACATCTGGAGGTGATGTGATGTGAGTAAGTAGTCTAGATAGAACAACGGTACCACGCACCTTTACGACAATGAATGCCTCGTCGTATAGCAGCTCATCCTTTCGGAGCTGCGTCAACGCCCGGTCTTGTGAGACATTATCTTTGATGATTCTATCAAAATAATGCCTCAAGAGTGTTTCCAACAGAAGTGGGCCGACTTTGACCGACGCCTCCCGAGTTAGAGAGTTCACCATGGCACCAGGGCGGCTTGTAGGAGCAGAACGTTATGAGTCAGTTATCCAGAGGTCGGACACCGAGGTCTGCACGCTCAAACACAGGGAAAGCCTGGGACACGACCAGTTCACGTCCAAGTTCAGGTGTGTTGGTAGCGAAGTATCGAGAGCTTCAGATTGCGTTCGGCACGACGACGAAGAGATTGGTGGGGAACGACTTGAGACGCACTTGTCAGCCTCTTTCGTATGCTGGATGGAATCGCACTGCAGTTGGATACCTCTAACGACTGTATTTATAAGGCTGAGCTGCTGCTGCTCTTCGGCGATTGAGAGATGGCTGGCCAGAATGATCATAAGTCACAGGCGAACTGGTCATGGTCGGTAAGCTCTGAAGTGGACGCCACCAAGACGCTCGACGCGTCCAATTCAAGAGAGCTCGTCACCAAGATGATGCATATGGGGTCAACCAATTGTAGTTCTACATGCGTTTCAATTAATACAAGCATCTGCTTACATCGTAAGAGAGAATCCCAAGAAGCACATCGTCCCTTCGCAAAAAAACAAAACAAAACACAACGGTACTACAAGTCTTTCAAGTCCGCAAATCGTTCCAGCTCCATCAGGGCCACACGCGTTTCTCCATGAGCCGCTGCACCGGCTGCGCTGTCGGCCATCTCGTTGCCTATGATGCCTGTGTGGCCAGGAGTGTGAATGGAACGTATTGTCACCTTGGGATATTCTTTGAGTACACGCCTAGCGTGCTTCTGGAGCGTCTGCGCCGTTGGGTGGTGACATTTGTGTTCCAGGTTGAGGGCGTGAACGACGCCTAGATAATCAGATGCGATGTGGAACTCCCGACCAGGGAAGCCGATGCTTAACACTTTGTACACCAGCCTCAGCGCGATGATTGCAGCCCAATACTCCGCGTCGCCCGATGTGTATTCCGACCTCGGCCCAAGGTGCATCTGGGCGAGGAGCAACGGGGCGCCAGGAAACATGAAATACGCTGCGGCACCTGCTCCTTCGGGGCGCAGGGAACCATCAATGTAGATAGACGTTCTGTGAATTGGCGGATTACTCCTCGAGCAGAAAGCTCTGTTGGCTGGTGTCGGCTGCAGTGGCACGTAGTCCATCACTTTGTGCGACATTTGCTGCACGCCGCTCATGAACAAAGAGTGGGATTGCGGGAGATGTAAAGTAGGCTGACATAATTTATGCGTAAGGACAGTATACACAATTGTATCATCGGAATGCCCCACCTTCATAACTGCTCGCAATACAGCCCAAGATGGCAGGGTTGCTAGTGACAAGTTGAGCGCGACAAATTGATAGAAACAGATGTGAAGGGTGGTTCGAATGAGACGTGTAGATCGGTCGCTGGCGTAAGGTTTTTGACTGCCCATGCTCACCGCTATGTCCTCTTTTATAGTGCGAGCGTGGACAGCGAGCCCAACTTCACCGTTAGTCTACAGAGACAGGGATTCGCGACGAGGACGTGTGTCATAGAGCCAATTCGCCTGCAAGAATCTCTACCTTGTTGAGACGGGTAGCGAAACGGCCATAACCGCATTCTGTGTGCACTTCGTAGACTGATCAGCATATTTAGATGTGGGACCTTCGTAAACCACGTTCTAAAATTAACGGTTTGCTCCGTATGACTTCACTCATCTTCCAAAATGGCGACGATGCATAATCATTCAACTGAACTAAGTTCCCATTTGAGCAGAAAACTTGCCACAGCCGTATGAGTGACGTACCTATCGACAGAAACAGTCAAGTCCCTGTTCTTCGTGTAGTAGATGAGCCGAAAAGCGGCTACACTCCCGCTGCATGTATGGGTTCGGGGCGACGACCGGCTCTTCGTCATGTTAATCATGTCGTCTCCCTCGCCTTTCTTTGGGAAGGGAAAGTCCCGCCATGGCACAGCCCGAGAAGACGCAACAATACTCCCCACCCGGCTACTGCTCACCTCTTGCTATAGTTTATTGTTCACTGGGGACTTCTGCACAACTGGTGCTGGCTGCCCAACGGCCAATGGTCTTGTGTTCCATCATCATCGTCCAATGTTGCGCTTGCAAAGGCCGTGGCCGATGCGTGTACGATATCTCAGCCAAAAGCGTAGCACTGGGGAGTAGTCTGTGTTCAAGAGTGTATAGACTCCGCCTCGCGAATTCTGGGGGCGCAACAAGCGGATAGAGCATCGGCATGAAGGGCGAAGGAGAGTGAGGTCGGCGTCACAAGATGTATGAGTACAGAATCAGACAAGCGCTAATCGGGCACTTCTATCGCGCGCGAGATCACGACCTGTCCTTGCAGTTGGAGGACAGGTTTGTTCCTCAAAGTACAAGACGACTCAGTCCTTGTACAGTATATTCATCAGCGGTTGTCCCTCTTCCCCCTCTCTTATACCTCGGAATGACTTGACCTAGTCTCTCGAACAACCATAAGCTAGTATTTCACCTTCTCCTCTTATTATTTCGTACTGAACCGCTCGTCTACTCGTTTAGTGATTTCTTCTGTCTCCGAGGACGAGGCTATGTTCTATTACTCCGGCATCTCCCATTCCCACCGAGGCTTGTCTACCGTACTGGACTGTTGACGACGCCCTGGGTCAAGCCTGAAGGGCCCGAGGCGTACCGCAAGCTCAAGCAGATTCGTGGCGTCTTTAATCATCGACTCAACGACGTCTGGGAGGACCTAAGTCCCCAGGTTCGGGACCTGCTGAACGTTCAGCGGATTTCGTGGACGTCCATTGACGTCGCTCGTTTCATGTCGTTTGTCCTAGCTCATGTTATCGGACATTCTGCACCTTGACATGTACAATTAGTCCCCATTCCCGGCTCCTGTCTCTGCCCATGTGAACCCGTCGAGGGCAGCACTCGGAAATAGAAACAATCATAGGGTATGTATTATGGTCAGTAGGAAGAGTACTACTAATTGTATGTAATATATACTTGGGATATAGCACTGGCTGCGCTGTTGTCTGTGCCCAGGGTGGAGAAGTTGTACTGCCCAAGGAACTCCTGCCAGCATAGTTGGTGCCCAGAGAGGTCAGGCTGCCTTGCAAAGTTTGTGATGGTGGTTCATGTCTACAGAGGATGCACAATCCAATGGTGTGATTAATGCTTGTCCTGTCAAGCACAAAAGACATGCAACAACACCGAGAGGATACGTGTGCATGTTGAGCAGTTGGGGCTAAGCAATGGGTGGCGCAGGCAGTATTTTGAAGGGAAAAAATATGTTGACAAGAGTGGGACTCGAACCCACGCAGGTTTCCCTATGTGAAAACATACCAGTGTTTACCGGCAAGCTTAAGCGCTTGAGTCACACGCCTTAACCGCTCGGCCATCTTGCCGTAACAGTTGGTTGAGCATTGCAGAGCTCTATACAGTAGACAAATCCCTATTCAGTACAGTATCCGTCAGTGATTTAAACGAGCATGCCCATAGTTATCTTGCCAAGTTCTACACAAAATGCGGTCGAAGTGTGAGTGACTCGCGATCGCCCAAGCACATATGATAACTGAGATTTTGGCCCAGACGAAATACAAAGAGCCTCGTGTACAATGGCTGCCTGTGCAAAGCCTGAGGCCATAACCCCATCTCTGTGCCAAACAAAAGTATCCGTCGGGCACAGATGCCACTCATAAATACGGCCCTTCCCTCCATCTCTGACTGCTCCCCATCGTACTTCCAACGCCATCCGGATGTTTTCTCAATAACCACTCTCGATACACAATACCGTCTACGAAGAAGCAAAATATGGATGCAGAAGAGTTGGAAGGATTAGCTCGCAGGGAGATACAAGCCCTGGCCAAGGTACGCTGCAGGTTGCTGAATGGCTGGCTTATATTGGGCAGTGGGGTCTGACATTCACCGTGTTAGAGAAATAATGTCAGAGCAAACGCGAAAACGTCTTACATCATTAAACAGCTGCTCAAGAAGCACAAAGGCAGCGTCCCGCCGTGCGTTCTCTCATTCTGATCATTGCCCCTCAGCATGGTATACCGATGCAATCTTCAACGGCAGGTTGGCACCACCCTCTGCAGGCGAATCCAGAACGTCGCCACACAAGAACTCCCCTCTTAGGAATGGCAGTGATGCGGGACGAGCCTCATGCAGCCCTCGACAAAATACAAGTGGCTCTCAAGTTGGTGCGTACTGTCCAGCTATCAGGTGAGCTAGTGCTGAATAGATGGCAGTGCCCGCGAATAGTCAGCCTATCGAGGGAGCCATGAATGCTGGAACCACAGTGGTTCGCTCTCCTGCACCTGTTATACTCCGCGAAGCCCTTTATGGCGTGGCTGGGCCGTCCATCGTACCTCATACCTCTGCATCCCAGAGGCAACCCGCCCAGACCGAAGGTCGTATCGACGCGTCCGGTAGGCGGATAGACAGAGCTCTATCACCGAAAGGTAGTTCCAGTCAAGACCTTCTTTCCTTTTACTAATTCACGATACATAGCCGCACCTGGTACACCAAACAACGCACCGGAAGGACCAACTGCACCTGACAATACCGCCTCTAGCATCAAACCAGATCTCGCCGGAGTCGCTAGGAAGCGCGCCCTCAAACGCACAAGACGGGTTATCAAGGACGAGCCACGCTCTGACGAATTCAACGATATCCCCGCTGAGGAGACGTGGAGGGCTACAATACGTGCCCGGATGAAATATGTGCGGGTCTGGAGGGATGCGGTTGAGGATGTTCCCGCTGGCGATGTCACACCATTTCCGCCCATTGTCCCGATTGACGAGGAGGAGGCCGCAGTTCTAAACCAACAGCGAGAACGGGGGCGATTACGACGGGCCTGGGAGGAAGCAAGTGGAGGTGCAGATGGTGACGAAGAGCGGGAGATGTACGTGCCTTTGGTATTCTTTAGGGTGCTCCTTTTGCTGTCTACTAATTTTCATTGCGTCAGCTCCGTGCCCCGGAGAAAGAACATTATCCGAATACCGAAACGAATCACCCGCAATCAAGACGCACCTGAGCATGACCTGCAACCTGTAAAGAAGAGAGCGCGATATTAGTAGACATGCCCACACGACAATTCTACGCTCTACGTTCAATTAGACACGTCGCGCTTCTATTCTCAACTGATCTCACGCGAGAACCTCAAAGGCGCGTCGCTTCTCTGCTGAACTGACGACCTGAGTGTATAAACTGGCTAGTTATGACTGCCAGTCGCTCGCGTTCACCTCAATTCACGCAAGAAATAGTGGAGAGAGCTCCGGTCGAGTGGCCGCTGACAAGTCGTCTTCGCGTGCCACCGACGATTTGTGAATTGCTGGGCCCCACTAGCAGAGCATTCTCTACAGATAGTAACTAAATAGAGGTCACGGTGCGCAAACTAATGTAAATGTTTCTGTATGCGGAAGTTAACAATAATACTACACGAGAGCCATATCGTGGGCCACGGAACAGGGGTTTTGCAGCATCCCAAAGTATGATGGAGAATTAGTCATATACAGGCTTGAAGTTTAGAGTCGCGGGATTGAGTGGTGCAGACTGGACGACGAGAGGGATTACACAGCGACTGACACGCTCTTGGCGCTGTCGTCTTTCTTGGTGGCGGCGGCTTGGGCTTGTGCTACGGCAGCCTGGGCCTGAGTTTTCTTCTCTTCAAGCTCCTTTACTTTCTTCTCCAGCTCCGCCGCCGTCGCCCCCCTGTTATTGAATGTCATGCTTTTATGAGGACTGGCAGTTGAGTCCGTAGAGTTGGTAACCCCTCCACCAAGACCGCGATGGAAGGTTGTAGGTAGCACGCTACGTCCCTCAGGATGTTGGAAGGTGCATGTAGCTTTCGTGCAGGCAGCACCGAAACGACACGGGACGTTGTTTTGTCTCGCAGGATGCAGGAAGGCACAGTTCGGCTTCGTGCAAGCAGCACCGAAACGACAGGCGACCTGTGATTGAGGAGTAGAATGGTGTGGTGCGTGTGCAGTGGGAGTGAATGCGGGTGCCTTCGGGTTCAGCGGTTCAGCTACAAATGGATTCATATTAGCAAACTCGGCTATGTGATCTCTGTAGCGAGAGGTACTCACAATGTGGCTTGGAAGCCGCAGGGCTGACATGAGCCTTGATGCAGTCTTTATCCTTGCAGTTTTTGCCGTTCTCGCAAGCTTCATTGCTGAGTACGACGCCGCTTTCGGGCGTGGCGACAGGCGAGGGATGCGAATACCTGCACGTCGGATTTGTGCACTTGAGACTGAACTTGCACAATGTCGGCGATTGAGGGCGCTCGGGTGGTGCGACGCTGCCACGTCCTTGAGACAGTGAGGTTGCAAGTTGCGGTGCAGGGGAATGGATGGGAGCCGGCGCCGCCGGGGACTGTTGTACTGGGGCTGGTGCAGCATTTGCAGGAGTAGGCTCGCCAACATTGCCGGCCGATTCTGAAGAAACGTGACCAGGACCCGTATGCCCCCCTCGCCCCCGCCCACCAATACCTCTCGAACCTCCCCGCCCTCGCCCTCTTCCTCGCCCGTCGGGACCCGGATGCGACGGGCCATTCATTCCACCGTTCATCATACCCATATCTCCATTCATTCCAGGCTGTCCAGGAAATTGGCCGTTCATAGCCATCGCCGCCGGGTTCAGCATACCCATCGCCCCCGCCATTTGTGCCATCATCGCCATCTGGTTCATCATCATCTCCTGCAACATCATTGGATTTGCCATTCCTCCCATCGCCGCCATATCCATTCCAGGCATGCCATTCATGGGAAACCCTCCGTTCATCATCATCTCGGGAGCAGGTGGTCCCGTGATGCTGTCGATTCGCGCTTGAATTTCGTCGTGTGCACGGCCGTGTCGTGAAGGGCCCATCCGGTCGAGGAGGCTTCTTGAACCGCTGGGTCCACTTATGTCTCGGTGTTGCATCGCACGCGGCCCGGTTGGTAGATCTAGTCGTCTGGACTTGTTAGGATGTCCAGAGGGCGAAGGTGATCGTGCCGATGCTGATCTTTTCTGGCCCGACGGGGAGGTACTAGGCATCGCTTGTGCTATAGCCTGTCGGTATAAAGGAGCCGCCGCGCGCGGTGTACTTGCAGGCTTCGAAGACGAATCGTTCTGTAGATGAGGAGGGTCATCACGAGCTCTCGTTTGTACCGGTGGGGCTTGTTCCGGAACGACGGGAGTCGGAGCTTCTGACTCCGGTGCACCTTTGGCCACTTCTGCAAACAGCCAGTCCACGAAACTTGGGTCTATGCATACTTTGAGTATGCGAATCAGTCGACGGCTATTTGTGAAACTTACCGAAGTCAGATCCAATCACTGCGTTTTTGGCTTAGTATCACTGTGATAAGAGATATAATGTGGTACTCACGATCCTCGAGCTCAGACGCTATCTGGGCTGTTGTATTGTCAGCGAGAAGACTGGCGTTCGAAGGCTCCCAACTCACCTGCAGTCTTGTTATTTATTATCATGATGGTAATATACTCCGCCATAACAGGATCTGGAACATAGACTTGAGAACTGAGTGACTGGGTATATGGGAATCACTCACCTGCATCCGGACTGTAGCCTCGTTTCGTAAGTTCATCTTGGATAGAAGTCTGCAAAGATTTAGACACGACATAGAACATAGCTATCATTTACTTACCTGTAGTGCAGTGGCACGTTCTGTCCCAATTGTCAAGCCGAAAGCCATGATAGAGAGAAATGGGAAATGGGGGGTGGTGGTAGCGTTGAAAGATGTGTACCCGAAGTGGCTCTGACGCAGACAACCCTGTGACAGCGCGGTTTGTAATGGCGTGACAAAATGGTAAGAATCCTGGCTTACAGTGTGACGTACGTGTTAGGAAGTCACACACTTAGCCTTGGCTGCAGTCTGTAATACGAGTCAACCCCTATCGGTCACTCAGTCATTTCATAGGCTGAAGTCCGGTGTGATGTTGTGGAAACAATGTAGGCTGTACTGCCGGCAGACTGAGTTTATTAGGGCCTCCAAGCCTAAGCCTGTGGTTCTCGCTGCACTCATCGCCTTCACAATTCATGATACCTCTCACCGCCTCCGCTCGTCGTCTGGCTACGCGTCGCGTTCTTCTGCAGTGCGTCGAATACGCGTCGCGGTATGAAGCCAACGTACTTCACAAGGTACTGTACTGTACAATTCACTAGATAATGATGCGTTACCGAACTTACTCAGCGACGACAGATCGAACTGGCTTTCACTGCCGGATATGAACACGCCTTGGATTTGGCTACTCGTGCTAAGAAACATGAGAAGGTAGGAGATAACTCTTAGGACATCGACATTCCTACGCTGCAATGATCAAGACCAAATGGATCGTATCGTGAATGGACAAGAACTCGGCCACTATTTCTTGCTAATAGGCCCGAAGGCCATAACTCCGT